CGCGATGATCATTACCTTCTGACGTGGACGTCCATAGGCCTTCAGCCATCTCGTCATTTGTCAAGGAGAGAATCCTTCTTGTTACTTGTAACACTAGCCAACCCCGCGAAAAGAGAAGACTTGCCTCCGCGGAGGAAGGGGAGGCTCGCCTACCACGCGGAAAGGGGAGGCTCTCCCTTAGTGTCATAGGGTAAGCGAGTCGATACGCCATAGCCTCTTTTCTAGCATTCGTTTAGTCTAAATAGCGCGAACCAATATTGCGACAGGTTCGATCTGCACGATGTCAATAAAGCTTAAAAGAAGGTTTGTCGGTATGACAGAACGAAACTACTCTTCTTCAAACGTTGGCTTTCTTAATACATATCTTATAAAACATGTTCTCAATCTCTGACCATGAGGAAGGCTTTGCGCAACGATGGCTATGCCCAAGTCCTTCATTTTGTTTTTGTTGACGTTTTTTAACGCCCGGGCCTTTGCGTCAAGTATAACGTCCCAAGCATCTGCAATTGCGGAAATCCCGCCATGCGGAGTAAGTGCGTCCCATAACTGGAATCATTGCGCTAACGGCTGGATAGATTCAGTGTCTGTTCACCGCGATACCGACGAGCGGCTGCTTGTGGGATGATGTTAGCTGCATATGTCAGAGCGAAAACCTCACACGAGCCATGGCGACGTGCCTACTCGATAATTGCACTATGGCTGATACTCAAAACACAGCGCGGGTGCAAGCGGATCTCTGCCATCTCTCAAAAGATTCGAAGAGAACAGAGATGTTCTTGTTCTCTGGCATCTTGTACGCTATAGGACTCATGAACGTCATGCTGCGAACGGCCGGGAAGCTAGTATCCAAGCGCCTTGCATGGGATGACTGGATTCTTGTTGGCACACTGCTATTCACCACTCTACCCTTGGGATGCGTTTTGGCCATGACTAGGATAGGGTTCGGCGAGCATCTATGGAATCTCAAAGCTAATACACTACTTCCCATCTTGCGATACTGTAAGCTTTTATCTACATCAGGCGTCCAACTTTATGATGCATCATCCCACTAACAATACTCCAGTCTACATTGCCTGGTCTACCTATATTCTGGTGATCACCCTCATCAAAATTGCATTAGTAGTATTCTATCTTGAGATTTTTGACTCGCGGCGGTTCAAGATCACAGCTTACATCGTGATTGTCTATCTCGTTGTCACGAGCCTCATCAGCTTTTTTATCACCATCTTCGTGTGCAAGCCTATTTCATATTACTGGAATCGCGATATTGAGGGCACATGTATGGACCCTCAAGTGATCGCTTATGGGTGCTCGGTATGCGCAATTGTCCAGGATGTGGTATTGCTCATCCTGCCACTAGTCTTTATCCGAGACCTCAAAATCCAGAGACGCAGAAAAATTGGCGCTGTCGTCATGTTCTCCGTCGGATCCCTTGGGTGCATCGCCACAATTATCCGGTTCCATGCCCTTACTACGTTTCGGATCTCTGTCGACCCAACATGGGACTATGTGTCTGCTACCATTTGGACAGAGGTCGAACTCGCGGCCGGTAGCATTTGCGTATCGCTACCATCAATCCGGGTGCTCGTGTCAAAGACACTCCAAACAAGCCCAAGGGTGAGACGCTTGCGTTCGCAAATAGCTCTTTACTGGGATAAGCGAAGCAAGCCACAAGATAGGGAGGACGTTATCCAATTATCACAAGCTAATAAGAAACCGCGCTCCGAGTGTGATTTCATTATGGCTGCGTATGACAGTGAGCACGCATGTTCCAGCGGAGAAAGCTTCGTCACCAATCCGCCGTCAGACCCTCGTTAATCGATCGATTTCGTACAAATCATCATAGGTGCATGAAAAGCCCACTACGATACCTGTAGATATCAGGATAGATAAAATCCATGTTACACGGGGTCAAGATGCTGACACTTCTCTATCTCGATCCGGGTTAGAGCGAGCAGGATTCTAGAGTTGGCTCCGTAAGGTAGTTATATTTTTCATAAGTATAGTCAGCCTTGAAGTTCTTTAATGATTTTACTAATATAAGAGTATTGATTTTTAAAAAGAGTAGTTTAGGCTCTAGTGAGCCAGTAGTGTTATACGTAATAGTGGCAAGCATCTTCTCTCCAGAGATAATAACATTAAAATTAGAAAACTACTTCGAATACTAACTACACATATTAGATATTATAGAGCTAGATTACGCGATATACTGTTTCGCTAAGATAGTACTATAAGTGATAGCAGAGCTTGTATATGATTATTAGTCTCAGAGGCAAAGAGGCCTTTAAATATGTATTTGTTCACCTCTACTAAATAAGAAGAAAGATGAGAAAAGTCAAGTTATTATATAATAGCTACTAGTTAATATA